CCTCCCCCAGCCGTCCCAGCGCCGAGGATGCTCCCGGTGAGCGGGGTGAGACCCCCTGAGCTCCCCCCAAAATCCCAAGCCTGGGATAACTGGGAGGATTTGCCAGCCCTGCTGCTCTCCCTGTTTGCAAACCCGAGCCAGCGAGGGAGCCCTAAGCCCAGCACATTATCTCCTCCAGACAATTAGCAGCAGCATTAACGGACTATATGCAAATGGGCAGGAATTGACCCGCGACTCCGCAGCCCGTGGTGGGGAAGGATGAGCTCCAGATGGTTTAAGTGGTCTCCTGGCTTGGCTGGTACTCTGAGTTTACTCAGCCTTTACTCAAGCTGTGCTGGGGGGCTGTGAGGGGGCAGTTTGGGGGAGCCTGAGGGGCTCGTGCCCCACCAACGACCTGCCCAGCCCTGAACTCCACCAAAGTTCCCCTGGCAGAGGCAAAGGTATTTGAGTAACTCCTCTGGGACCCCAAATTTAAATATTTATGTATCATTCAGGCCATATGTTCCACCAATATTTTTTATTTAATCAACTGAAGACAGATGGCAGGAACATAGAGGCCATTAAACTAATGGCACTTTGTCTTCCCATTTATTTTTGTCTCCTTTCTCAGCTAAGACAAGTCCCTGGCAGGTGACACACCCTGGGCACGGGGCCATCCCTGCCACCCCCAGTGTGCCAGCTGGGTGTGGTGACAGTGGCATTGCCCACCCTGAAGCCAATGATCTTAAAGATCTCTTCCAACCAAACCAATTCTGTGGCTCCAGGACCCTGTGAAGGGTGGGTTTGTGGGGGAGCCACGCTGGGGATGACCTGGGGACATGCTCCTGTGGGACCTTCCAGCCTTGTTGGGTGCTTGGGTGTCCCAGCAGCCTCCCACCCAGCTCTCACCCTGTCCCCTTGCTGGGGGCTTTGCTTGGGGCTGGCTGGGGCATGGGAGCATCCAGATCTGGGGGTGAAACGTGCACTCACAAGTGCATGGCTGTGTGTGTGCAGAGTTCATCCTCTCCTGGGTGAAACCAGGGTGGAATCAGAAACCTCCACGTGCCCCAGAGCTGTTGCACCCTCCTGCACCACGAGGCTGGGGGGTGGGGACCCCTGTTCCTCACACAATCACCGTGGCTGGAAAAGACCTCCAAGGTCATCAAATCCAACCTTCCCCCTAACATCTCCCTGACCACTAGACCTCAAGAGCTGCATCTACTCATTTTTTGAGCCCCTCCAGGGATGGGGACTCCAGCACCTCCCTGGGCAGCCCGTTCCAATGCCTCACCACTCTCTCAGTGAAGAAATTCTTCCTGATATCTAATCAAAACCTCCCCTGGAGCAACTTGAGGCCATTTCCTCTCCTCCTCACCCTGGGCTGTGGCAGCTCCTGCTGCACCCACATCTCCCCCATCCCACACCCTCGTGCTGGGAGGATGAGGAGAGCCTGGGCGTCCTTCCTCCCCGGGGCAGGACCATCCTCCTGTGTCCTGGGATCTCTCCTAAGCTTGCCTTTCTCTTTGACTTGCAGGTGGATGTCTCCCCCTGGGAGTGAGATGAATGGGGCTCCCTTAGCCAAAGGGTCCCAGGAGCTTCTCCTCCTCTCTCTGCCCTTCCCATCGAGGGATGCTCACAGGATCCACCAAGCTGGGAGAGCTGCAGCTGCCCCTGAGCCCTGGAGCTGCCTGCACACAACCCCTCCAGCATCCACAGCTCTTGGGCACCCCGGGGGGGCTTTGCCAGGGGGAGACTAAACCCCAACCAGCCCCACAGAGACCCCCACTTTGCACGACGTGGCGACCCCAAAACCCACCCAACCCTCCTGGACTCGCTGGGATCTGGCAGGAGCTTTGAAGAGCCTCACCTTGCAGCCTCCTTTTGTGGTGCAGCCCGAGAGGGGGGGATCCCCCAACTCCTCAGAGCACCCCCAGGGTTGGAGAGCATCTCCCCACGGCGCTGGCTGCCGGGGAAGGGATGAAGAGGCTATGGCCAAATTCTTGGTGAAGCTGCAGCGGTGCTTTCGGAGGAAGCCCGTGCGTTTCCTCACGCTGCTGGCTCTCTACCTGGCTGCTGGCAGTTTGCTTTTCCTCCACTCAGGCTTCTCCAGGGAGCCCACGGTGCCAGGGAGCCGGCGTGGCCCCCAGGGACCCGGGTTGCCCTACCTGGGGGTGATGCAGTTGAGCCGTGGCTTCCAGGAGATGCCCAAGGGGCCACGGCGACCCGGCCCCTGGCTGAAAACCACCTCCAAGGAGCTGGCAGAGAGGGGCAGAGCTGGGGAGCACGGCCACAGCAGGGCACTCAGGGGCAGGAGCGGCCACGAGAAGGAGGAGGACAGAGGTAAGGGCTGGGGGATCTCTCCTCTCGACCCCTCCTTTTCACCCCGGGGAAGTCTTGAGTGCTGGGGTGGTGGGAGATGAGGTGGTTGGGTCGTGCCCCCCCAGGGAGTGTCTGTTTTTGCTGGTAAACCACAAGCATGGGCTGCTTGAGTGTGAAGATTTTCTTCCCCCATTGCCTGGGGGGAAGCTTTGGAAACCTGGGCGCAAGAGGATGTTCCTGTGAGCATCTTCTCCTCCTTCTTTGTCCTCCTTCCTCCCTCCCCAAGTGCCACTATTCCACCTCCACCTCTCCATCTTCACTCGTTCCCATTTATGCATCACCAAGCTCTGAGCCACCCCTTTCTGGGACAGGTACTTCTTGGGGGAGAGGCTGCACCCCATCTTCATCCCATCCTTTGGCTAAACCACGGGCCAAATTCAGTTCTAATTGTGGTTTTGATGTGTTTGATTTGGAGTCTAGAGCCCAAATGTGGTTGAGGAGCAGCTGAGGGAGCTGGGGGTGCTGAGCCTGGAGCAAAGGAGCTGCGTGCGCGCAGCCCCTGACAGGAGCCTGGAGCCAGGGGGGGGTCGGGCGCTGCTCCCAAGGAACAAGGGACAGGACCAGAGCCAGCCTTGCCCAGGAGATGCCCTGTGGGGCTTGGCACAGGCCATTCCTTGGGCAACCTGGGTTGGGAGCCCAGACTCTTGCTGGAGAGGGGGTGTGTGGCTCAGAGAGAAGCAGGAACCCCCAACCCAGTGGCAAACTGGTTTCATAGTGGTCACTGTGCTGACTCAGTGCTCGTGGGTGCTCTGGGAATATCCCATGGGATGGCTCAGGGTGGGCAGTGCCTGGCTGGAGGGGGGGAGGTGCCACCCCACGAGCATCTCAGCAGCTCCTGAGCTTGATGGTGTGGAGAAATTCTCCAGCTGGAGGAATCCCTTGAGCCTGGCATGCCTGGGGGCTGGTGGAGCCTCAGGGGATGGGTGCTGAGCACCCACCTCCCTCCCCTGCTCCTCTCCGAGGTGCCCGCTGCTTCCCTGGCAGGCTGGCAGGAGGAGCCAGCTCTTAACAGGGTCATGCCAAGGCGTGGGGCAAAGGGCAGCCCTGTCAGCATCCCCAAGTGAAGGAGCATCTCCTGCCTCAAATTTGGGAGCATTTTTGGAGGGTGAAGTCGGGGGGGGGGAGCAAGAACCAGCCCCAGCCTGGCAGTGCCCGCAGTCACCCCCTCTCTGCACACACCCCTCCCCTGGGCCTCTGCTGGGGTGGCTCCAGCCATTCCCAGTGACAGGAGCAGGCAGTGCCATGCTGGAAGAGGGGACCAGGCACCCCCAGGCATGCAGCTGAAGGTGCCAAGAGCCCCAGTGCCCAGCCTTGCTCCTGGCAGAGGGAGATGGAGACGTCTGGGGAATTTGGTGCCTGCTGCTGGGTGGATCTGGGTGTCTGCTGAGCCTCCAACGTGCTCCAAAATTCCCCTTGGCACTGTGTGCTGGGGCAGGTCAACCTCTCACAGCCCAGCACCCTCCTCCAAGCTCTGCCTGACCCCACCAGGAGCCTTCCAGCATCTCCCTCTGCTCTCTCCTCCCTCGTTTGTTGTCCTCGTATCTTCCCTAATTATTCCAGTTGCCTTCCTAATAAGCTGCAGCCTGCATCTGTCAAGAGCAATGGATTGAAGGGAATGCCCATCAGTCCCCAGCTCTGTGCAGATGTCTGGAGTGATCCTGCACCAGTAGAGATCTGTCAGGAGCAGAATGAGCCCCCACGTTGTGATGGGAATTATTTGGAGCACTGAGTTATGGCTCCGTGGGGGTTAAACCTTTCTCAGGCACATTTCTCCCTGACTTTCTCCTCCACCTTCCTCCAGGCTGGCTGAGGGCAGCTGGTTTGGAGTGCTGGTGGGGTCTACACCATGAGGAGGGTGTGGAGGTCTGTGCCTGGGGCACAACCTCAGTGGGGAGTTGGTTCAGGGACCCCCCCAACAGCTACAAAACACAAGCTGGAGGTGGAAAGTGTTTTTGGAGTGGCACACGTGGAGATGCTCTGCTGTTAGAGGGATGATCTGGTGTGGGATGGAAGGAGAGACACAAGGTGGTCTTCATGCACCTTGCTTGCCTAGAGCCATGGCTTCACTCCAACCAGAGCAGAGGAGCCCTCACCACTGCTCCTACCCCATCCTGGGCTGCCAGATCTCCTGGTGCTTTCCCAAAGTCCCTTGCCTGGGGTGTTGGGAGCAGAGCCCTGCTTGGAGAGGTGTTTGGTGATGTGAAAATCAACCCCCTAGCTCAGGATCCTGTGGCTCTGGAGGGATGGGAGCCTCTCCTTTTGTGTCCCAGTGCTGGGACCTTGCAGCAGCACCTCAAAGCCAGGGGCTCCAGGATTTCTCCAGGATGGGGTCCCCCCTGTGCCAGCATCTTGCAGGAGATGCCCTGAGAGTGGAACAGGATAATGAAAAGCCAAAGATTCCCTGAGGATGAGGGAGCCCAGAGCCAACAGGGAGCATCCCAACAGGCACATGGGCCAGGAGGTGACTGGGATTTTGCCTTGGACAAACCAGAGGTTCCATCCTAACTATTGATTCAGCTCTATTCCCTGTCTACCAGCATCTTCACTGGCTCTGCACAGGCACCAGCCTCTACCCAGGGTTAGCTCTGGGCAAACATCCTCTGGCATTGATCTTTGGGGCTGAGGAACACGAGCTGCTGGGGAGGAAAAATTGGTTTTAAACTGGTTTTCCCCACTCTGCCCACCCCTGTGTTCCTGGCAGAGTCAGAGTGAATTGGATGGGTGATTTCACCACGTAATTAATTTTGTGGGGCCACTTGGCTGCTTTTTGGGGCTGGTGGGAAGGAAGAGGATGGGGGGGTGCAGAGCCACAGCATCTTTTCTACCTGTAGCGAGCATCTCTGGGCTTTCCTGACCTCTCCCTTGTAGCAAATAAACAGGATGCTTTGCTGCACCTCCCTATTTTGGGACAAATCAGGGTGTGGGGAGGGTGGGAATCAGTGGGCTCAGCTCTGGCTGGTCCTCACCCCCCCTTCTCCTCCCCCTGGGCCCCAGCCAGGTACGTGGGGTGCTACGTGGACGACCCCCGCCGGCGGACGCTGCGTGGCGTGTCCTTCTTGGACTACAAGAAGATGACAGTCTTCCGTTGCCAGGACAACTGTGCCGAGAGGTAGGGTGGGAGATGAGCCCCCTGTCTTCATCCCTTCCCAACCCCTCTGGCTATTCTCTGCCCCACACGACCCCCTGCTGCTCCCTTCCTCTTCCTCCCATCCGCCGCCTTTTTCCGTCCCCTTTGTGTCATTTCGATGTGGGTTGGTTTGGTTTCCAGGATTCCTGGAAAAATGTTGGGAGGATGAGGGGCTCCATCCTCATCTGGGGTAGGAGGGTGTAAGGGCTCCAATATTGGGTGCCATGAGTGCTACCCACCCATTGCTGGCCCCACCTAAAGGCTTCCCCCCCACCAAAACCCCCTCTCCAGACCTTCCCAGCTCGCCGGGTGAGCAGCCAGGGAGACACAGGGATCCCTCACTGCCAGAGTTTTCTCCTTTCCCCACTTGTCCCTTCTTCCTGCTCTGCCACCACCCGTTACACCCTCCCTGCCTGGAAGAAGTGTCACTGTCCCCTGCTTTAGGATCTCTTGAGGAGCAGGGAGCCCCATTCCCTTAGAACAGCATGGAAACGTAGGATTATAGAAGACCAGGTTGGAAGAGACCTCAAGGATCATCTGGTCCAACCTTTTTTTTGGCTCCATCTTTGTAGCCACCCTTTAAATCCTGGAGCCCAGCATCCTGTGGGCTTTGCCACAGCAGCACCCTGGTCACTCCTCCTGAGCTCGTTGCCCACCAGGAGCCCCAGTCCCTTTCCACAGAGCTGCTCCCCAGCCTGGGCTGCACTCCTGGATTGTGTTTTCCCAGGGGCAAGACCTTGGCATGGGTCATATTGAACTTGGTAGCCCACTCTTCCAGCCTATCTGGGTCTTCCTGCAGGTGAGGTGTCCCTTTCAAGGTGTCCCCATCCCCACTCAGTTTGGTGGGAGCAGGAAAGTCCAGCAGGGTACGTTTGATCCCATCACTCAGGTTGTTTATGAAGAGTGTAAAGAGTGCTGGGTCAGATATGGAGCCCTGTGGGAACCTGTTGGGAATGGAATGGAATGGAATGGAATGGAATAGAATAGAATAGAATAGAATAAGAATAAGAGTAAGAACAAGATAGAATAGAAGAATAAGAATAAGAATAAGAATAAGAATAAGAATAAGAATAAGAATAAGAATAAGAATAAGAATAAGAATAAGAATAAGAATAAGAATAAGAATAAGAATAAGAATAAGAATAAGAATAAGAATAAGAATAAGAATAAGAATAAGAATAAGAATAAGAATAAGAATAAGAATAAGAATAAGAATAAGAATAGTCAGGGAAATGCGATAAAATTAGAATAGAATAGAATAGAATAGAATAGAATAGAATAGAATAGAATAGAATAGAATAGAATAGAATAAGATAGAATAAGAGTAAGAACAAGATAGAGTAAGAATAAGAATAAGAGTAAGAATAAGAGTAAGAACAAGATGAATAAGAATAAGAATAAGAATAAGAATAAGAATAAGAATAAGAATAAGAATAAGAATAAGAATAAGAATAAGAATAAGAATAAGAATAAGAATAAGAATAAGAATAAGAATAAGAATAAGAATAAGAATAAGAATAAGAATAAGAATAAGAATAAGAATAAGAATAAGAATAAGAATAAGAATAAGAATAAGAATAAGAATAAGAATAAGAATAAGAATAAGAATAAGAATAAGAATAAGAATAAGAATAAGAATAAGAATAAGAATAAGAATAAGAATAAGAATAAGAATAAGAATAAGAATAAGAATAAGAATAAGAATAAGAATAAGAATAAGAATAAGAATAAGAATAAGAATAAGAATAAGAATAAGAATAAGAATAAGAATAAGAATAAGAATAAGAATAAGAATAAGAATAAGAATAAGAATAAGAATAAGAATAAGAATAAGAATAAGAATAAGAATAAGAATAAGAATAAGAATAAGAATAAGAATAAGAATAAGAATAAGAATAAGAATAAGAATAAGAATAAGAATAAGAATAAGAATAAGAATAAGAATAAGAATAAGAATAAGAATAAGAATAAGAATAAGAATAAGAATAAGAATAAGAATAAGAATAAGAATAAGAATAAGAATAAGAATAAGAATAAGAATAAGAATAAGAATAAGAATAAGAATAAGAATAAGAATAAGAATAAGAATAAGAATAAGATAGGATAGAATAAATAAGAGGAAGGATAGGCTAGAATAAAACTAAGACTAGAATAAGACTAGGCTAGACTAAGACTAGGCTAGAACAGAATAAGAACAGAACATTTTCAGTGGGAAGACCCCTCCAATGATCCACTCCAACAGCTCAGCCTCGAGATGCCACTGCCGGCTGCAGCAGGGGTACCCCTGCCCACCCCGCAACCCCCCTTATCCCCTCTA